CATTTTTTCCAGTGCTGTTGTAACTGTCGGGGTTCCGACTAATGGACCCAAACAAATCAGATTCTGAGGCTTGAAGTTTCCTCAAAGAACATGTTTATTGGGTACATAATATCGGCATGGTGAAAAGTGAAACCAACTCTAAAATTCCTCTTAGGGGATTCAATGTAATTAAATGTAACACTTCCCTCCCCCTACTATGCTATTGATCACGCTACCCAATGAGGGCAATTGACGGGCTCCATAACAATTCTTCTCTCCACCTTCCAGCTCCTGTGAGAATGACCTTGGTTCCCCCAGGATCACTCTATGTTTAGTCTAACAATACTTTTGGTTGCTTCCCCCTCCCTCCTCCCAACCTGTGTGACAACTGAGAATGACAAAGATGGCTTCAGCCACGTTCATTTCAGAAGTTGACAGTAACTCTGAGTGGTCACTAAACAAATGGTTGTAAGTCAAGGATTACCTGTACATCTTAATCACCCTAAAGGGGATGGTGTCTATGAGAGTTTTAGACACTAGCAGACACTCTGATTTTCTTAGAAGCTACAGTAGTTGTAATTCTGCATTTTTTTCTATAAAGAATGGAATCTTGTCCTACTTTCGCAATCAACCTGCCCTAATCAAATTCTGCTCTGTCCGAAAGTTCAAGTCTATTTACTAACCTTCAATTCCTTCTGTAAACATTCTCTGATCATTCACCAATGTGGATTTTGGATTCTATGGAATTCTAAGCTGTGTTTAATTACGTTAAAAAAACACCCCTTTATGTTACATTAAAAAAAAATTAGAAATGTAATTGATGCAACGGGGTTTATTCTTGCACCGCTTAGCAAAGTTTTAACACTTGAAATGTGTCATGCCGTGGTCACATGAATGAGGATCAAATTGCAAAGCAAATATATAAAAGAGCAGAGAATGCTTTGAGAGGAAGACCAAGGAAGTCTTGGTTGAACAAAACTGGCAGGATTCTGGAAAAGATAAGAGTTTAAAGAGCAAAAAGCAGTGGTTGAAGAAGTGGATCCACAGGATGGAAGCAAGAATGGTTTGGAAGGATGCAAGGAAATGAAGAGGCATTGGGCAGATGTGCACTTTCTGACTCACTAGTATAAAAGGAAGAGCAGAAAGTGCTTCCTGAATGTAGAGACAGATATCATCCTCCGGCTATGCCCAGCCTACTGCAAATGAACCCCATGTCCATATCTTCTAGCTAAAACGTAAAAGTGTTGTTTTCAAACCAGAACTACCTTCACAATATAGGTAGTCCTCAACTTACGACCACAACTGGGATCAAAATTTCCATTGCTAACCAATTGTTAAGTGAGTCGCGTCCAATTTTATGAGCTTTTTTGTTATGGTTGTTAAGCTAATCGCTGCATTTGTTAAATGAATCATACGATTGTTAAATGAATTCAGCCTTTCCCATTAGCTGCTTGTCAGAAGTGTCAGGCCCCGTGAAACATTCCTTGGATGCAGTGGTGGGATTCAGCCGGTTCGCACTGGTTCAGGAGAACCGGTAGCTAAATTTACCTGAATTTGGAGAACTGGCTGGCTTCTGGAAGTCCAGTCGAGGCCTCGGTGGGAGGGAATCTGCCGCAGATTCCCTCCCACAGACCGGTACGCTCCCACAGAGTGGGTCTCCTCAGGGTGCCGTCGGCCAAGCAGTGTCGGCTGGCGACCCCCAGGGGGAGGGCCTTCTCTGTGGGTGCCCCCACCCTCTGGAACGAACTACCCCCCGAGATCCGGACGATTCCGGACCTCCTACCTTTTCGCCGCGCCCTCAAGACA